ATAACAACTTGAAATGGGATTGGTCTTGAGCTTGCTCATTGTTACTCAGTTCTGTGATAGAAAGTAACATGTTTATTAATGATTGAAAAGGAGGGAATGGGGCTCAGTAAAATGGCAGCAGAATGGTATTTCTTTTCTTCATTCACATTTGTCCTGCATTTGCAGGGTCTGCCGTTTTTACCTCTCTTTTAGGTTTATGATTGATCTATTTTGGACATTGGTAGAATTCCTTGCATGAATGATCAGCCCTATCTGCAAGGCCTCTACCTATACAAACACAGAATGACGCGGACAAACATCCATGCCTTGAGTGGGACTCGAACCCACGGTCGCAGCGGCCAGGCACACGAGGTCCATGCCTCAGACCGCGTGGCCACTGCACCGGCAGGAGCAGAATGGTAGTAACTCTGATTTTACATTTTAGTTTTGGCATCGGACAGAAGAAACTGAATTTTCTATGTCTCTTCATCACTAAAGTGTCAATGACTGGCTTGGTGTTGTGGATCATGACAGAACTGACATATTTTATATTGGTTTCAGGAACAGTTGGAGGAATTACGGCAGTCTGCGCCTAGTGTGGATCCAGCACAGATCTCACAGTTATTGTCATGCTGCTATTCGTTATTGTCTCCAGAGTCTTCCTCACTTGGGTTGCCAGATTTTCCTGTAGACAGATTGCCAGCAGCTGTGACACTGATGGTTAGTGATACTAAAATTATATTTCTCACCATCTGAACTCTTCTGTCTACTACAGTAGTAAGCTATCTGTCCAGTGAAGTGTTACTTATTTTTGAAGTTTTCTGTCTTCTGGGTTGTTGCGCTGTGTAGTCTGGTCGATGTTAACCAACGTTTCAGAGATTATACTGCCTCCGTCATCAGGGCGATTCATTGGAGGCAGTATGACCTCTGAAACGTTTGTAAACATCTACCAGACTACACAGCGCAATAACCCAGAAGACAGAAATCTTCATACTCACCTCTGTGAAAACCTCAAATCTTACTTAATTTTGTTTTACACACTGTTGGGTTTTAGTTGTCTTCATATGGTACCGCCTGCGTGTATTTAAAATTATCTGCACTGTTCATATGCAATGGCTCTTAATAAGAAAGTAACTGATCTTCTCAGAGAAAATATGTGTTTAAAAATAATGCAACCAGTTATCTTGATTGCAACTCTCAGTTGTCATAGTAACTTTTGTGTGTTAGCATAATGGTTCAGGCAATCATTAAGATACTGACACCTGAATGTTTCCTGTAGTGACTGCATGGTTTACAAAATCAGTCTTCATTCCAGAAGCTTAGAATGTGTCGTTTCCTTATTATTATGCAGCTATGTTATTTTCTTTATTCTTCCAGGAGACATTACCATCTCTGCCTCCATTTGAGGTCCTGTATCGATTATACCCATATAAGATTTTTTTGCCAAGAGAAGGGAAACAATCAGTTGAGGACCTGCTGTGTACTTTCCACCTTAAGACATTGACAAAGCATAGTTCATCAAGCATACAAAATGTCATTCCATCTTCGCAGGATCAGACTGCACAAGTGAGGATAAATTATAATGGTCAACAAGCACAATTTCAGGTGAGAAGTTATGTAAATTGGGCTATCTATTTATGAAGTTTTAAATGTGATAACCTTAACCTATGTTAATTTAAGCCAAGTTTTCCATAAACATTTGTTTTAGTTGGAGGAGTTGGGTGTAAGGAAGAAAAATTGGTACATTTTCTCCAACACCCACCAATAAATATCTTTCATGCTTATGTACCAATGAACTAGCTATCCAGTAACAGTGTGTCTGTTTTCAGAAGTATTCTCCATTAACATTTGCTTAAAAAGTTGATTTGATACGTTTAGTCAAACGAGAAAACACATGAAATGGTTAAAGAATTAATTATATAATATTAGGCTGTATATGTATAAATTTGGCTGTTTTTTCTGGGATGAGTAACACTCATCACCCTGATGGTGGAGGCAGTAAGCTGCTCTGGAATGTATTTTCTTGATTTTACTTAGTCTTGATGTAGATCTTGAAGTATAACTTCAATTATTTTTTTTAAGAAAAACATTTTTTATAGGGCTGATCTTGTGGCTATAACATAATGCTCCAGTAAGTATATTCAGATTTATTAGTGGTCAGGCAATATTGCATTTGTGGTGTACAGAGCTTGTGCAGGTTATAATTTCTCTCTTAACAAAAACATTAGAAAAATACCTTTAAAATTAAATTATAAATTACAGATAAACATTTTCTCATTTAAGTAGAATATTACCTTTAACATCACTACTCTGATCATAAGTTTAAGCAGAGTAGAATAAAACATATCGAAATATGGTTGTTATGTGGTATCTTGTTACAGGTGGTATGTGGTACTGGAGAACGAGCATCTTCTTCAACAGGTTTCATTGAAACTTCATACCAGGAGCAGTTGCTGGCTCAACTACTCCAGTCTCATCTTGTAGGAGACTTCTGTATCATTGGACCTCGAGGCTGTGGGAAAAGTGCTACTGTTAACAGATTGGCAGCTCTGTTGAATTATCAAATAGAACCAATTGTGCTGTATCAGGTAATAATGCTGTTAAGTACAAACACACGTAATGAGTTTTATTTCCATCAGCTCTCTTCTTGCGTTACTTTTGCTATAAAAATGAGCATTTGTTCAGAATGCTTAGTAATTTTATTGATACACAGAACTAGTAATTTCCATTTGTTTTCCAAACTTAACCAGATTTTGCACCAAATGTGTCTTTAGATCCATACAGGAGTGCATAATTTTTAACAGTTTTGTTTATTTTGCTGGTCACTGATGTTCTAATTCAACATTCTGAAAGGCCACACATCGTTGATATTGCGGAGGTGCTGACTGTAAACTACAAGCCTCTGAGTTTAGGCTAATAAGAAATATAACAAAATTAATAATATTCTTTAAACTGTATCTTATATTATGATTCTTTATCACATAGTAAAGAGAAGTCTCCTAATATTAATGAATTCTTTCTAGTTGATCAGCTATTTGATAATGGGATTAATTATTAATAATTATTAAGTGATTTCGATGCAAATAGCAATTAAGATAAAGCATTTTGCAGGACATGACTTCACGAGATTTGGTTCAGCAAAGAACAACACTTCCAAATGGGGATACTGTATGGCAGAACTCTCCACTGGTTACTGCTGCTCTTGAAGGCAAGATGGCAGTACTAGATGGTATCCATAGAATCCACCCTAGTACTCTGGCTGTTATTCAAAGGTATATGTTTTTTAATTTTACATTCCAAAGAAATAAAAAATTATCATTTCTGAACATTAACAGTTACTGAAATTGGTAGTGGCACCAACTGGTTTCCTTCACCAAGAAATTGTAGATATGACAAGTTCCATATCATAATTTAAAAATCTGCAGAAAAATGAAATTCATATGAACTTTGTGTAGTAGAACAAAGCTTACAGTTTCATTGAGGTCTCCCCATTATACCTTCTTACAAGGCCTCCTTCAGTCTTCACTGCTAACAAACTTTTATAAAACTCCTACTCCAGTACCATAACTTTGCCAAATCTTCTTATACAATATTGTGCTTTGACTTCTTCTATCTTTATGACATATAATAGCTTTTTGTATTTTGCCAGCTTCCTGTTGCATTCTCTGAAGCATAAAAATTATGCTTCCCCCTTATCACTAAATGTTAAGTAATATCTTAATTTATAGACAAAATATGTAAATGTGACCAATGACTTGAGGCTTTTAGAGCAGTGTTCTTCTGAATTGGAGCATCTTGTCAAACATTTTGGTAGAACATCCTGCCTCCATCTTCAGGATTAAATCTGTGACTGTTTCAGGTACTATGAAAATACAGTAACTTCAGTGCATATTTAGCCCACAGATGAGAAAACTGTTGGGAGTACAGTGATATATTGATATATATTGTTCTTAATAAGTAGGGCTGAAGTCAGTCACAGTTTGTTGTCTCAAGCCAATTTTACTGAGCACCAAGTACAGCCCGAAATAGATTTTGTCCTAAATTGTTTATAGATTGCTAGTGTATAAACTGACATGAGTATTTTTTTATTAAATCTTTTATGCCTTCCTGCACACACATTTTATAGTTGCTTTTCTGCACAGTTTTAAGGTGTACATGCAATAATTAAATGTATCAGTTGTCTGGTAGTTGGTAAGAAGGATTTAAGTCAAACATTATTTGTGTTGATTTGAAGTTCTTCTTACTGAAAACCATTATTGTGAAGAATTTGTACCTTTAAAAATTAGGATTTTGGTTCCAGGTTAGTACATGACCGAGAACTGCAGCTGCATGATGGACGTCGACTTGTCCGACATGATCGCTTTGATGAATATAAAACTCGTCATAATCTGTCAGAGCAGCAGCTACATGACTCAGGACTTCTCAGGATCCATCCTGCTTTCCGTATAGTAGCTCTTGCTGAACCTCCAATTCAGGGTATGTAATCTGTCCTTTATATAGTGATAGGTAAGCTGCGTATTTAATACTCCTGACCTGTTACAAGAGTGTCAAGAACCTATCTTTGTGCTCAGTAAAATGGGCTGAAGTTAACATGAACTGTCTGACAGAAGCCCCTCTTACCAGTCACCTAAGATATAATTGTAACATCATTGTATTAATAGTTGTCACAGCTATTAGTGAAACATATCCATCAAAACAGAAGGAACATGCCACCTGGTTTCAGGCTAAAGGACCTGAAGATGACAGATGATACAGCATCTGATGTACAGCATAACCTGGAAGGGTAAGTGGATGGTCTGTGTATTGACCAACAGCAGAAGGAAACTCAGAAATAAACTTGTCAATAATGTAAAGCCTTTTGTCATTGTAGACTTCACATTTTGTGATTGATCAGATTATACACTCAGAAAGTTGGTTTTGTCCAACTTTGAATTACACTAAGTAGGATTTGAGGTTTTCATGGTGGTGAGTCTGAAGATGGCTGTCTTCTGGGTTGTTGCACTGTGTCTCATCATCCTGATGGTGGAGACAGCAAGGACCTTCAGAACATCAGTAAACTTCTACCAGACAACATGGCACAACAACCCAGAAGACAGCCATCTTTGAATTATACTATATATTTAACTCTATTGCTTTCTACCTTAACATTATATATCATCTAGGCTGTATATGCAGGAGGGATATGTAAGTACGAAGGCCCATATGACATATGACAACATAACAAGAAGTGTGATTTCATGAAACATTTTATAAACACATTTTATTTTCATTAACACAGAATTAACAAGGCTGTAATGAGAATTCATGCCACTGCCATTTAAGTACAACTTTGTTCTTTTTGCAACAGGCAGCATTGCTGGTCAGTGGTTGTCAGCTGAGATACTCAGTCTGTTCCTCTTTCATGAGATGCGACCACTTGCTCTGCATGAAGAGATTCACATTGTTAAATCATTGGTAAGCCAATATATATTTGATCTCTTGGTCTGCCCTCCTTTGTCACTGAAGTACTATTGAATTATATACCTTTATTTATTAGAGGGATATAACAAAGGTCTGCATTTGAGAGTATTTATTCTCAAATATCTTGAACTAAATTATAAATCTTCAGACTTAATAAACAGGCCAGGAAATGTACACCAGAAATATGCTACTGCAAATTTTTACAACTGTAATGAAGTACATTGTATTTGGGAGATACTGGTGCCTGTTTTGAATGTCAGTTGGAGCGGAGCGGGGCATTCTTTGTACTTTTTCTTTATCCTTCTTTCCAGTTCACTGTGAATAATCAATTGCCAATCTCATTTGATGTAGTACCTTATTAATCTGTATCATATGAAAGTAGGAGATTTAAATCCTTAATATAATTTGATTGTATTGTTTGGCACAAAAATATTATTTTGTCATTACTTTTAGCAACATGGCTTAGCATTGGATTTTATAAATGTCTGTGAATATAATGTAACACTTCATTCTGAATTTAGACTTTGATACAGTTTGATAGTCTAAAATTCTCTATAATTCTTAAAGGTTGCATGAGAACACCAAATTCAATATTTTTACTTTCATTTAAAGAAGTAATAGATGTTTCCTTTATAAATTAATGTTATTGAATATATGACCAGTGCCAATAATGTTCTTGTTTGAACAAAACTGCAAATATTCTAGTATAACCATATGTGAAAAGCTGTTTTATTTCAGTATGGTCAGGTTGGTCAGCCACTGGCTAGTGTGATGGAATTAGCTCATAAACTTAGAGAATCAGAAGATCCAACTATTCAGTCGTTAGCTGGATCGCTGTCTACAAGACAGTTACTTCGTATTGCTCGACGCATGGCCATGTATGAAACAGAGAGTCCAGCTGCAGCCATTCATCGAGCTTGCCTGGCAAGGTAAATGTACCTTTATATCCATTTTCCAACTTGGACAATTATTCTGTTGTAACCTTATCTTGTGTATTGTTTTATAAATACAATCCAGTGTTATATTACATAATTTCAAATTACAAATTTCAGTATAATGTATTACTGCCCATAATTTTTACAGAAGTGCATGAACATACATTTTAAATGCTGTTTTGTTTCCTCTTTACTGATTATTTTTTATCAGATTGTTGAGAGAGCACCACACACACTCAGAGGGCCTTGACTTATGAACTCATCAATAAATGCAACATATAGCCTGTGTTGTGTGCTGAAGTGTCTCTTGACCTGTTGCTTTTTAAAGAACAATTATTATGTCAGTTATCTTACTAGGGACAGTTATCTTACTAGGGAACTTTAGTTTTCAAACTGTTCAAATAATATGGTCTTAATGCCTTTAAGTGATGTAAATAAGTAACAGTACTCTGTGTGGTAGCATACTGGACTCATGTGCATCAAATCAAATCCTGGTCAAGTCAGAATTATATTCTTTAATTTTGCCACTGTGTTGTTATTTTCCATTATACAAAGAATTACTGTACTAAAACTTTGTATCTTCCAGAAATCTATAACTATACATGATTATATGGTCCTATTGCAAGTGGTACTAGTGTTATTTCCACCTCACAAGATGTGTTCCTTCAGATGCCATAACAATTATTTACTGGAATTTCCATGTTATTTTGTAATGTTATTTAAACTAAAGAGAACTTGCTGTAGGTTATCTTCATTTCAGTTAGTAGTATTTTGTCATCTGCAAATAGCAGTGTTAATACATGAATAGGATCATTTAAATTATTATTTGTCCCCATTTTATTTAACCATATTCATAGGACATCCATCACATAAGATGTCAAGTAGTATTATAATTATAGTAATTTCATTACTGCTGTGTACGTTGATATATTTTATGAACGTGCTTTTTTTTCACGATTTCAGATTCCTCCCAACACTTGCCCGCCAGGCGTTGGACAGAGTTCTGAATGATGGTGGTGTCAGTATTGTTGCTGAGCCAAGTGACCCTACTTTAAAGGTTTGTGAGGTGCAGGGTAATGTAGTGAGAATTGGAAACACAACTGCTCCTCGATATCAAACCTCAGCTACTAGCAAGGTGCCAGATGTGCTGTTCTTTGATGTGCCCCAGGTATGAAGTTTACATGATAGTAACATGCCAGTTTATAGTCATTAGTTTTGTCTTCAGTACATTTTTGTTTTCTGTTATCACAATGACAAAAGGGTTAAAATACACAAAACAACAATTTTACTACTTTTGTATGGGCATGAAACTTATTTTCTTGTTCTGAAGGTTGAACATAGATTGAGGATGTTTGTTTGAGAGCGGGATGCTGAAAATAATATTTGAAGTTGAGGGGGGTGATGTTGGAGAAAATTGCATAATGAGAAACTTTATAATTTGTGCTCCTTTCCCACTTTGTAATTGACCCAACAAAATACATGCCTCTTCCCCCTCCAGGTCTTCAAAATGTAATGTGTGTTCAAATACCAGATGATGGACAAGTCCAAAAACTCTGTAATCCAAATGAAAGCTAGTGAACAACAAGTGAAGTTTAGTGCATCAGTTCACAGCTCCATATCCTGGATTGAATCATATTGTACTTGTATTTTCAGGGTCTTGTATTTAGAATAAATTTAAAATAGTGAATGCAGTAAAAATCGTGGTGGAATAGTTCTTTTTAGGGACCTGTGTAAAATAAGGACTTAATATATGTGTGCTCAGGATTTTGTTCATAAAGATCTTTCTTTATCAACATAATTATTGTGTGTTTACAGCATATATCTGCACTAGAATGGCTTCTACAGGACTTCTTACTTGGTGAACATCTGTTGCTTGTAGGTAATCAGGGTGTTGGGAAGAACAAACTTGCTGACCGGCTTTTGCAGTTGCTAAATCATCCTCGAGAGTACATCCAGCTGCATAGGTCAGTTTCCCATGAAGTTTTTAAAAATGTTCATTGGACCGAACAGAACATATTGTGATGACTAGCTGAAGCAGTGCAATTTATCATTGGTGCTGGGATAGAATGGTTGTTTGTGTGCCAGCTGCCTTTATTGGCAATGAATCTCTTAATAAGAAGCAGAGAATAATTTGTCTTATTCTTTTCTGTTACATACTATGTTGAGTTATTCATCGCAGGTTTCCTGTGTAATCTTAATTTGTGACAGTAATGGCAGAATTAGAATTCCAGCATAAAACCATATTGCAGGGACACAACTGTACAGACATTAACACTTCAGCCCACAGTAAGAGATGGTGTTGTGGTATATGAGGATTCACAATTGGTTCAGGCGGTCAAGCATGGCCATGTGCTCATTGTAGATGAAGCTGACAAGGCTCCCACACACGTTACATGTATCCTTAAGGTGAGTGATTTGATTATGAAATGAAAGTTTTACTGTTGTGTTGAACCCGCATTTATGCTATAGCCTAATCTTAAATGTAATTTTGGCGAGGCTGAGAATTTTTTATCTTGTCATGCTATTTTACAAATTATTTTTATACAAGCCTTCTTATACGTGATGGAATTAATATCAAAACATGTAATTTAAAGGAGTCAATGAAGCTATCCACAGATGAGCTTCATGTGCAAAGAATGTATTTGTTGGTACTGAATTATTCCAAAAATTGTTTTGATTAATTCAGACTTTGGTGGAATCTGGTGAGATGATTCTGTCTGATGGCAGGCGTCTGGTTCCTCATTCAGATCCTCGAGTTGGCACTAATTCTGCATCCATCATTCCTGTTCATCCAGACTTCAGAATGATCATTCTTGCCAATCGCCCAGGCTTTCCATTTCTTGGCAATGACTTCTTTGGAGCTTTAGGTAATGATTACAGAACCCGACAATTCAGATGTAAGATATAAATAAATTGTTGTTTTCCCTAGTTTCCAGGCCTTAAAAGAATTTATTAACAGACACTTCTACAGGAAACATTATTTACAACATGACAGATATCTTAAAATTTTACGATGTGATAAGCCTATTTGGAAACACTAGTGCTATTCCATGTGCGTGTGTGCATATATGTGTGAACCTGTTTTCACACATGCATGGATGGATGTTTTCATGGGTAAGTACACACCTGGCCATGGGCCCAGTGGTACGTGTTTGCCCTCATGAGCACTTGTGTGCATGTGTATGTGCTTGTGCCCATGTGTGTGCCTTTTGTGTGTGAAAAACTTACTACTTATTTCTTGTTTTGTCCATTTCAGCTGCATAGTCAACCCATTGTATTCTACTTGATTTAATGGCCCTGCTGATAACATTAGAAGAATAATCTTTATGTGTGTGTGTTTCTCGACTTTATTCAAAATATAATATTCTGAATTCTTCACTGAAATAATCTGCCGTGGCTTTACGATGCCATATATTCTTAACCATATACATATTGGGGGAAAAAAATGCTGAAATGGATACCTCAAAACATTTCTCTCAGTAAATTTCCACATTCATTCCTTTTATAGCATGACATTTAAGTTGGCCACTTGTGGAATACAACAGAACATGGTACTTTCAACATTGCCACACGAAAAATATAGGGGCATGATGACCGAGGCCAGGTTGTTAGGTCTCCTCTTCCCATCCACTATCAGGAAACTTATCACTTGGCATCACAAATAATGTTGTTGTAAATAGGTAGTAGTTCATCTTGCTGAAAAATTTCTGCCTAATAAAATATGTTTATCTGCATGTATTGATTTTGTATGCAGGAGACTTGTTCAGCTGTCATGCTGTGGACAACCCAAGCCCAGAGTCTGAACTTTCATTGCTAGAGCAATATGGCCCTAATGTATCTGGAAAAATAATTTTGAAATTAGTCAAGGCCTTTGGTGAACTTCGGAACATGGCAGATCAGGGTCTGGTTCACTACCCGTACTCAACAAGGGAAGTTGTAAACATTGTGAAACACCTTCAGGTTGGTTGAAGAAAACTAAATTGTAGAATTACAGTTGTTTTGTGTGGGTGTGAAACTTGATTCCTCACACGAAGGGATGAATATAAATTGAGGACTTTTGAGTGTGCTGTGCCGAAGGGAATAATTTTTAAGTAGTCGATGACAGGAGACTGGACAAAACTACATAATGAGGAGCTTCAAATTTTGTACACTTCATCACAATATTATGTATTATCCATTTTCACACAAAAAAAATAGATAAATAAATTTATGTACTTTTGCTCTTATTTTTATGTCTACTTTGATCTTATGATGACACAAATTTTCTATCTTTAGGCCTCTATTATTCTCAAAAAATTACTCTGTTGTGTGCATTAAATTAGTGTTAAAATGTTAGGTACAGAATATTATTGTTTGATATGTGATAAAATTGTTAAAAGTTAAAATCTGATTTTGTTTTAAATAAACTCTTAACCTCCTTGTTTGCCTTTAATTACAGACTTTTTGTTGAGGCTGATTGTGTGTTCATACTAGACATGTTCAGAACTTACAGCATTGTCACTTGTAAAATACACTAGAACTTCAAATTCATAACTAGCAGGCAGAGTCTATGATAAAGCACAGTAAAATCTTTTGTAGGATTTGAGGTTTTCATGGCATTGAGTACAAAGATGGATGGCTTCTGGGTTGTAACACCATGTAGAAGTTTACTAATGTTTCAGAGATCCTTGCTGTGCATGTGGAATTGGTGTGAGATATTGGAAACTCAGTCAAGGTAGCCTTAGCTGGACCAGTAGGGAGGAGAGTCAGGATGAGGTGAGGGCCTGGGAGCCAACAGGAGTGGGGGACATAAACATGCACAGCGGAGCATAAAAGTACTTTACGCTTTCAAAATGATACAGGAAACAAATGCAGTGTACTTATAACTTCACACCCACACCAGTCAATAGAAGAACTCTCAAAGTTTGGTTTCAGATGACCCAGGTATTTGTTGTTGTTATGCACCTCTGCTAGATGCTACAATTTTTAAAATGGCTACCACACAGCAGAGGAGTTGGCATGTTCTGTAGTTCATGTGGAACCAAGCCAAGTATCCATTTATGCCTGGTACAAGAAATTTGAATCATAACTGCCATATCTTTCATCACTATGGTCACTGCACAAAATTTGGGATGAGTTGGATTATTGTCTCGACGTCTACCGTGTGACTTGCGGAGCATGTGTCGAGTCTGTGAGGTGTGTAAAAAACTTTGAGAGTTTTTCTATCGATTGGTATAGGCGTAAAGATTATATTCCTTTCCGAAATAACACTTAATAATTTTATAAAACATGCCTTCTCCTGTATTTAACATGTCTGTTTGCAGGAATTCCCTAATGAGAGCCTGGCAAGTGTGGTGCGCAACGTGTTCGACTTTGACAGCTACAGTAAGGAAGTCCTGGAGATATTAATGCAGACATTGCATAAACATGGCATCCCTTTTGGAGCTGACCCCTCCAATGTGAACTTAGCTAAAGAGTAAGATGCATGATGTTTAGCAATAGCAAACACAAATGCCAAACTTCTTTTGTTATTTTTTATACGGTAGTAAATTCTTTATTTTTCATATAGTGTTTTGTGTTCCATGTTTTGTTTGATTTGATTTCTAAAATATGTTAGCAGATTTGTGTTACATTCAAAGCTGTTTTGATTACAGTGTATGTGCAAATTAATGCCTTATTTTATACAAGAATTTCAAGAAAAATTCCACAAATAACTGTTAGTCATTTTAATATAACCCAGCAACCTTAGATGTGGGTCTCTTGAACCTAGAAATCTGAGTCTTATAACTGTTATGTGACACACAATTTAATGATTTGTACAATAAAAGTACTTCCAAAACTTGTACTTTAATATCAGCCATTACCATTATATTTACATTCAGTAATTTAACCTTTGAATGACATGTGATGCAGAAATGCTTCATTAATAGTACTGGAACAGTACTGTGTACTGCATAAAGACTTTGGTCACCCATCACCAGTTCCTCATTGTTTATTTATATTGTGTAACCTGTTGTGCTGCAGTTATATGGAATGTAGGGGAATAGAGCAGTTTGCAATTTAATGATGTTTGTTTAGTGATGTAATTCTGAGGTTACAAACATGTGACACATCTGTTTATTGAATAAGAGGTCTTGGTACATTGCAGCAAATATCTCACAAGTTTTTTAGAACCTATTTCCCTCTCTCTTGAGTTAACATTTTAATGTCTGTAGGTAAAGTGAGTATCCCATACATTCATTTCTTAAAAATTTAAAAGGCAGTGCTTGCAGCTGTGTTGTAAGCTGGTGTAAGCTGCAATACACAAATTGCCACTGCTAACACACTACACCATTCTCTAACACTAATAGATCTAGCCACCATTCTGTGCATGTACAACCACTAAACTTTAAATGTCCATAACATTGTAGTAACTTCCTCTCTCACCCATTTTACATAAAGAATGAAACTGCATTATAATATTAAAATTTGTAGTCTCTTCCTATAAATAGTATTATTTTTATGGTTCCAATCAATGTCTCATTTAAAAAAAGTATTCATTTCCTACATAATATTATTTAATAACTATAGTAATTCACTTCTCTTGGTCTGATTCCACTATTTTTAACATTGTGATGTTTCCTGTACCATATGTTTTCTTTAAGATATCAGTAAATTTCTCGTATTTATTTTATAAATATTAGCCCCACCCTACATGACATCCTGTTATATTAATATTGTAATTGTAATCAGTAGGATTATTATTATTACAACTAAGTTAGAATACTTTGTTTTGGAACGTGTGTTAATTTAAAATAAGGTAGTTTTGGATTATCTGTCTTCCCGTTCCCTTCATTTGCCTGAATAATTACAACTGTACTACACTTCATTATGGAGTACCCCTTGGTGATTCTCACCATTTGTCACACACCACAACCAAACCTCAAAGGAGTCAAATATAAATAAATGTGTTGTGTATAGACTCCCACTGCCTCTCGTGCAGCTAGCTGGAGGCTGGACCATCATGCATTCACTACCCCCAACTCAGCTTGCTGTTGAGGAGAGGTTCTTGAAGATGAAGGAAGCCCATATTCTCAAACAGAACAATCATCCCCTGGACAAGGTAGAAGCCAGGGCTGCTGTGTTCAGTGAGATGCAGTCTTACTGGTCCATACCCATCAAAGAAACTGCCTTTGTTGTAGGCCTTGCAGTCAGCAAAGGTAAGTACGAGGTCTGTCCAAAAAGTATCCGACCTTATTTTTTTCCGCGGTAAGTAATGGCGAAAGGATGGGGAAACTGAGCGTAGTGGTAGAAGGGACTTTCATGTGCATGCGTGATTTTTTGCTTCCTCGCAGCAGCGCCGGATGTGTCTGTCTGTGCCAGAGAGCGAAGTGGTGTAACACGTGTTCGTCGCATTCTTGTTTCGCTCAAGATGACGGAACGCTTGGAGCTGCGCTACTGCATCAGGTTTTGCCAGAAACTTGGGGATACCCAAGCGGAAACAATCCGCAAAATTCAGCAGGCTTTCGGTGATGATGCAATGGGGGTCACTCAAATTAAAGAGTGGTTTAACCGCTTTAAAGATGGCCTCATGTCGGCGGACAGTGACCAGTGTTCCGGGAGACCGTCAACGAGCCAAAATGCTGATGTCATTGACAAAGTGTGGACATTGATCATGGAGGACCGTCGTTGGACCGTCCGGGAAATTGCTGATGAGGTTGGGATCAGCAGAGGTTCCGCAAACACGATTTTAACTGAGGATTTGGGCAAGCGAAGAGTGGCGGCAAAATTTGTGCCCAAGCTGCTTTCGCCAGAGCAGCAACAACTCCGCCTTGAGGTCGCGCAGGACATGCTGCAGTGCGCAAACAGGGATCCTGAGTTCACTGGTGACGAGTCATGGGTGTACGGATATGACCCGGAAACCAAGGTCCAGTCATCACAATGGAAGCATCCAACATCCCATAGGCCCAAAAAAGCACGACAGGTTTGGAGCAATGTGAAGGTGATACTGTTTTTTTCGATTACCGGGGTGTTGTGCATCATGAGTACGCACCACTAGGCCAAACTGTCAATAAGGAGTACTACCAAGAAGTCCTCCGTCATCTTCATGATGCAGTTCGGCGCAAGAGACCGGAGCTGTGGGAAGCACGCAACTGGCAGCTGCATCATGACAACGCCCCAGCTCATTCATCACACCTGATCCAGGGTTTCCTGGCCAAGCACGGCATTCCGCGGGTTCGCTAGGCTCCCAACTCTCCTGACATGGCTCCTTGTGATTTTTGGCTTGATGGAAGGACCTCTGGACTAAGTGTGTGGAGTCACAAGGGGCCTACTTTGAAGGGAATTAGGTATTGTAACCCCCCAGACACAGAACTTTGTTTTCCCGGCCCAAGGTCGGATACTTTTTGGACAGACCTCGTATCTTGGATTCTTGGATTTAAATGGCAACATAGTGGAGGTGCGTCAGTGTTCCAGAGGGCCTGGGGTTATGGTGAATGGGGCCTGGTATTAATTTCTTATAACTAGTAACATAACACAGTGAAAGTCCAGAGTGTTACTCCCAGGAATCTGACCTTTTCTATATTCCAAAAAACTTCACATCTTTAAGCTGGGGGGGAGAAGGGGTTATATTTTCACGCATTTGTTGCTTGATATAATGACAGTGGAGCCAGGGTTAGTACAGATTTATGTGTATGGGAAAACATGATAAATTATATTGGAAGAAGAGATGTCCACAGGAGTTAGTGGACCACAAGACACTGCACATAATGTTACTGAAATCATGAAATGTTTTATTATTCTTTAGCAACAAATTTGTTGGAGAAATTGCAGAAAACACAAACCATTGCTCAGCAGTGTAAAAATTCCAATGGCAACTTGTTTTCTGAAAGGATCAGTACGAATGAATGGAAAACAGTTATGGAAGATGAAATGCTATAGGATAGCAATGTTCATTCAACTTGGCATTATCAAAAACCAATGTTGAAAGTGCGCTTTTCACCTAATCAGTTGGTAGCCATGCCTATATTTGGTTCTTGTCATTTCTCTTGATTAATTAAAATCAATTTGCAGGTTCTTACATTTCATATACAACAACTGTAAAGCCAAGTATGACTCTCCCCCAGAATTGTTCAAAATAAATCTTGTCCTTAACTGTTTAGATTATAAATTTAACCCTGTGGCAAGAACATCTTTCTTTCAAGTAGTCTTTCTCTCTGAGGTTCTCGTAGTTTGATATAAGAAATTTTTAATTGTGTGAGTTTAGCACTGGCTAAGTGTATCATTCATTATATACACAACAATAGATACAGATGTAGTCATCTGATCAGCAGTGACTTGAACGAAACAACTTCTTGTGCGGAGATTCTAAAACTGAACAGGCAGAATGTACCAAACAGAATAAATCTTAATTATGTTGACATTTTGGCGCAACACAACAATGAATCACCCTGATGACAGAGGCAGTATGACCTCGGAAACGTTGGTAAACATCTACCAGACTACACAGCACAACAACCCAGAAGACAGAAATCTTCTTTTCAGTCTTGTTTAACACTGAAAAGTAAACATGTTTGGTTCCCCTTATGTAGCATAAATGTTCTGCAGATATTTATCGCACACAGTCAGACAGTAATTAAAATCTGATGAAAATAGAGTATTTGTGGCCATTTAAATACCTTGATATTTCTAGCTCTTATTTGCCAAAATTAAATTCCCATTCAGGCTCTGGACAGGGTTTAAGTGCCTCCATTCTGAAGGATTAATAAAATTCATGGTCTAGACATTCATGTTGCTGTGCTTACTTGAATCTGCTCCTGCCTCTTGGTATGAATTTGGTGGTATTATAAAACATGCATATATTCTTGTTTAGTACCTGGTAAGTACGTTGTTAGTGTATGACACCATACCTAATCCCTTAAATTTTATCAACAGGTACAGGTACAGACCTACTTGAAGATTGGATTCATGTTCTGACTATGAACCCACTGACACTGTATACAATGAAGCCATCAGGAGCAATTATCCAAGAGCTGTCACTCCAGGGTTTAATCACTCCAGTGCGAGGTGCTCGACCCTACTTTGTGCTGTCACCATTAGATAATGGTGACCGAATGCTGATTCATGAGGAAACGGTACTTATATTTTGTGTTTCAAAAGAAGAATTTTTGTTTCACTTTCCAACTTTTTATTGTTCTTTCAGTTATTAGCTTTCCTTTGTTTTGTTATATTGTGGGTAGGTTCCTGATGCCTTCAGGGGATAGCCTATTGTGACATTTTCTGATCTCTGCTGACCTCAGGCAAATCTGGAATTCATCTCTGAGGAGGGAGCACCCATAGAACAGATTCTATTAACTCCAGATAGGGTGATCATGAACATGATGGTCAGCAGAGGGGTCCTACAGTTTGATGTGGGTTCCAAACCATGGTGAGGGCTTGATGTACTTCACTTTACCAAAGTCTTATCTTTGGCATTAGTCAGTGAGCAGAAAAATCTCTCATAGAGTTATGACAATATTGTAATATTGTCTTATCTAATATGTTTGAAGTTGAATATTAACTATATGACTGATTAAATATTGTTTCTATTATTCTAGTCTAACAGGCTCATAGTGGTAGACTTGACTGCTAGAAGGGCCAACCAGATACCATTGTTATCCACATTCAGGTCAGCCACAGAGGGTTTTGCCCGGACGATGGGAACTGAAGTTGGCAATTGGCACATGATGACAGACATGCTGGATCAGACAAACTCTGTGGTGAGATGTGTTTGGTGACTGATTATATGATGTGTTACAGATTTGTTTAGCACATAAGTATGTGTATGAAAGGCATTTTTGATTAACTGAAATTTAAATCTGAATTATGTAAGATTTGAGGTTTTCACAGTGGTGAGTATGAAAATTTCTGTCTTCTGGGTTGTTGTGCCATGTAGTATGGTAGATATTTAACAACGTTTCAGAGGTCATACTGCCTCCATCATCCATGTGGCAATTGGGTGGAGGGGGCTAGGTTTGTAGGAACCGGACAGTGAATGGAGTAGCCTGCTCCCAGCCAATGGGAGCAGGTGTCAAATCAGGCATGGGTGGGGACCAATAGGAGTGCGTGGACATGTGAGAGAGATAGAGAAAAGAAAGAGAGAGAGGGCTGTCATTCGACCCTTTTTTTGGTGATAACATGATAAACAGTAATTTCTTGAACATATTGATAGTGTGAATAATTGTTTTCAGATTCTTTATGAGATTGGAGGCAGCAAAGTTGAAGTGGTGAATGTCAGAACCATGACAGCAATGTCATTCTCTCTCCCTTTTCATATTAGTTCAATAAATTTACCTTCCATCAATAAATGGCTCATAGAAGATACAGTTAACAAGTAAGTATTAAAATTAATTAATTAGTATTTAACAACTTGAAAATAAATTATTTATATAATTTGACAAAATTTATAAAGTTCATTTATAAAGAAGTTAAATGTGAAAACATCTTCATGGCATCTTAATCCATATACCTGCCAAACATGCCATCTGAAAACTAACCACCTAGTTTCAGACTCCCGCCAAATGCAGACTCTGCCAGACCCCATCGTAGCTTTTCCCCCCCTCCATTTGTTGCTACCAGAGTCACCACCATCAGAACTTAATTTTTTCTTCATTGTATGAATGGTGCACACGTACAGTCAAGCTTGACAGACATTGAATATTATATTAAGAGTAGCAGTACATTCTGCCATTTAACAGTGCCAAAAGTGTTTATACTGTTAAAATTACCAGTTACCAATTGTCACCAGTCTTGAATGTTCTGTGTAATTCTTTATAGCATTGTTCATGTCTAATATCACGTGTAGTTTAATGCATTTACAGTGAACATGGTAGAATGTGATGTATGGTTTGTAGTTTGCACAAACAGAAATTAATTTTATGTGAAGGAGTAGTAATGGAAGAAAACTAATATTGGGTGACATGTGCTTTATAAGACAATCAGCAGGACTTTTTTTGTCATGATTTAATTAAACAGATGATGATAATTACAAATTTTGTTAATAATTTATTTCACATAAATCTATGAAATAAAATCATTAGCTGTCTCCTAAAATAATAGTTGAAGGGCTTGATGCCACTTTATTCATTTTGTGAGAAGCTTAAAAATCAGTTTTAAATAAAGCCATAAATAATAAATTCATGTTTATTGTCATATTTTTATTATAATTAAGTAAATGGTTTTCATTTATTTTATGAGTATTCTTTAACATTTGAATGGTCACTATTATTAAAGAAAAGTAAAATACATTGACAGATGTAATGAATTATTTATTTATTTAATACATACATCTTTTCTTTCTATTTCTCACTAGCAGACTGTATGCTATAGAGATTCTGCCAGTTAAAATACAGTTGTACTATGTTAGGTTCAGGATTGTTTCCTTGAATCATAATTGAATTTGTAGTATATTAACTACTGGTATTCTTACACACTGTAGTACTCCATTCTTGTGTTAACAGGAAGTATGTGCTATCAAAAGTCAGTCCTACAGACCCATGCCCAAGCATGCTACAGCCAATTGGTGATACTTGTAGCAACTCCCTTGGTTACATTGTTACATGTGACTCTGAGAATCTACCATTTGACATGCTTAGTGATGCCCTTGGTCAGAAACTGAGTGCTCCTAATCGTATACTCTGCACTGATAATACATATGCTGCTGTAGCTGTTGGCTTCCCTGAATTGGACCAAACTGAAAATGAACTATATGTATGGCCTCGACCAGCTAAGCATCGAGGGAGACCGTATACTGCCATCATTCTGAGAGACTGTGGCCAGGTTGTGTGCCCTGTGAGTTCTGCTCAAGTGCCAAAAGAATTGATCTCTTCAGACAAGATTCAGCCTGCTGTGTCTGGTTATTTGGAGATCACTGACATCGTTAATCAGAAGCTGCGTTATCTTCCTGTACCACAGTGAGTTGCGTGGATTGTGTTATTGTTCAAATATCACATGCTTTATGTTTATGATAATGCCATTAGAAGCAGTCTTTGACAATAAGGACATTCTGCTTGGAAGGTTTAACTTGTATGTTATGATTTACTAGTAAATTACCCGTCAAGAATGGCATGAAATTCTCAGTAGGATTTGAGGTTCTCACAGTGGTGATTATGAAGATGGCTGCCTTGTGAGTTGTAGCACCATGTAGTCTGGTAGAAGTTTGCCAACATTTCAGAGGTCTAATCTGAAGCTTTCAGAGCGACTAAGTATGATGAATTCTTCTCAGGCTCGGTTTAAACCATCCGACAACTATGTTCCATTTTCAATTTGTAGGTATGTCAGTATCAAAAGTCAGATCAGTTGTCCATTACCATTATATCTATACATTGTGCAGTTAATGCTTTTAACATGTCATTCTTGACAAAGAAGGCCTCATCAAAAGTAGCATATTTTTTCCATCATTCATAATTTCATGACCATGAATCATGTACCAATAGGTACACATGCATGGAGATGGTAGTGCCAAATCGATAGTCAGTTACCAGTTGTGGTCTTCTGGGATGACACCATGTAGTTTTATAGGTCAGTGGTATTCAACCTTTTTTTTTGTTCGCGCACCCCCAATTATAATTTCTCTTCAACTTTGTACCCCCAAAGTTGTTGGTGTATAATTCAAGTTATACATAGTATACATACATACATATTCATCGCCCTGATGACGGAGGCAGTATGACCTCTGAAACGTTGGTTAACATCGACCAGACTACACAGCGCAATAACCCAGAAGACAGAAATCTTTATACATCTAAAATAAATTACATCCAAATAATTATTGCCTATCATATAAAAATTAATAAAGAAACAAAGGTATTTTAGCAAAGCAAAATTATATGTATAAATCCTGCCCAATAGTGTTCAGTCAGGTTTCAAAGCACTATGTGGAATAAAATGAAACTAGCCGCCCAGATAAGAATTGCATAAAGGAGAGAGAGAGAAATGGCACTCCCAAATCGAATGTCGTCAAGTCCGGTTCTCATGTAGCTAACCCTAAATCTGGTCCTGATTATTCAGTGTTATCATACAATAATATATATTTTTTATAAATTTCACGTACCTCAGGTTGAATACCATTGTTATAGGTGACTACCATTATTTTAGAAGAATATATCATTTCCATCTTCAGGTTTTAACCCTGCTAACCATCTGCAAGACTACACAGTATCACAACCCAGAATACCACATTCAACCACCATAAGAACCCGACATTTTAATTTCACTTTAAATTTTTGGTGTTGAAAAATCACAGATTACTAGTACAGTTGAAACTCATTAACAAAACTGACTCTTTAACAATGGGTGACCTCCAAAAGCAGTGCTGTCAGAAACCAATTTATCAGTTGAGGCACTGCCCACAACCTGTTTTGGCCAGTCATTTCACATCCAGTCCTTTGCTTATAATTAAATTTTGTTTAAACATTATATAGCAGCTTATATATAAATGAAGACGGAAACGAAAATAAACAAAACAAATGGGCCACATTCACATATATAGGAAAAGAAACCAAATACATAACAAAAACATTTAAAACAAATAACATAAAAATAGCATTTAGAACAAAAAACACTATAAAAAACATCTTGAAACAAAAACCACAAATAGACACAACAAATCAATACGAAAAACCAGGCATATATAGGTTAAAATGCAATGATTGCCCGTTAACCTATATAGGCCAAACTGGACGCACCTTTAATCAAAGATATAAAGAGCATATTACAGCAATAAAACATAATAAAGACCATTCAGCATATGCAAAGCATATATTAAACACAGGACATTCATACAACAAAATAGAACATACAATGGACATTATAAAAATAATACAAAACAAACCACATAGAGACACCATAGAGAAATATCATATACAAAGAACACATAAACAAAACCTTGCACTAAACGACAGCAACATTTACACGAACAATCCGATATTTAACATTCTACAGTCCATTGACCAAACCCCCTAAACAACTTTCACCCAATATATATAGCTACACACGATACCTACAACTCAGTTGCTGTCTGCCATTCAATAACAACGGACACGCACCTCATACACAACCCGGTATGTTATAATACTTTATATTTTGTGAGTGTATTTCTTTTGCTTGTATTACGATATATTTGAGTAATTCCTTAAAATAATATAAAATTAGAGTAATATTATTCCATTTCCTATGTCGGTAGCCAGAATCACGATATGAAAATTAAAATTGATTTTGCAGATATAGGCACCCAGACGCGTCTCCAAAATTAAATGAAAGAAGCCTGGAGATGTAATAAAAACGGATAAAAACAAAAGCAATATAAGCAGCAGTTTTCCTGGTACTGTCTTTGTATATTATTACAATGCTCATCAGTTTTTCTGAGTTAATTTTTCATTGTTGCATTTTTAAAAGTATTTTATCAAATTGCTCACCATATGAAGAAAATGGTATGCATATAATATAAGGAAGAGTGTATAGGATAGCATTATTGAAGCTGCCCTTCTAGATTAATATGAGGCTTTGTCCCCATAATTTTCTTAAATATTAAGGAAAGTTAGGGAGAGTCACAATTAGGACTGCAGGTAGAGAAGGAAGGTCTCTGAAACAAGTGAATGGGCTACCACAGGAATAATGAAGCTTGTGATTTAAATTTTTCAATTGTATTTTCTGCACCAGGCCATTTTCCGTCTCTTCTGTTACTCCTTGGCTGTACTCACAGCTACCCTTGAACCTTGCGGCAGGGAGCAATCAGGGTCTAGTGACTGTGGACTCTGGTGGGTGTGTCAGACTTTGGGAGACATCTCTGTTTAGCCTGGAAAAATCTATGATGGAATGGAGGCAAATGATTGGTTCTGGTATGTAGTATAGCATATATGACTTCACTTTTATGCATTAGGTGTTCTTTATGTTTTAGTGTATGTTTGAACCTGTTGGGAACACCCCTGGGCTTGCTTACAAATGAGGCTTGCATCCCCAGTGCTTTACCACCCAGGCCTTTCCCCAGCATGCTTGCTCCCTGGGACCTAACCCCCTGTGCTTGCTGCCCCGGGCTTTGCCCACCAAGCTTGCAGTTATTCTCATATTGCACAAGTACGCAATGAAACCACATATAACATTTGCCAGATTTTACGTTTGTACAACAAAGATCAAGAATTTGACATTTTTGAAGTCCCAAACTGGAAATGATATATAAGTGTAATGCTGGAATTATAATTTCAGTGATTTGTAATCTCCTTATACTTTTCCATATTTGTATTTTCTATACATTCTGTCAGCTATAATAATTTATGCCAGATGTCTGTTAAACAAAGGCACAAATATGTCTGCATGATTTTAAGAAAGTCATGAATTGAATTAATGCATTTTCCAAATCCTTCAAAAGAAAAGCAGAGGTGAAAGTTACACTTTGCTTTGGTTCCCAACACCAGTAAGCATAGTAGGGGACTGGTGGTGATGTGAAGATCACATTTGCAAGCTCAAATCCCATTGCCCAAATATGTATTTTTAATGCTTATTTTGTATTCGTACAAATGGGCTTACTCATTAAAATTGAGCATTGAAATATGCAGAATGTGATGTTTGAAAAAGAATATCTAATTGATGTTTGTCTTTAAAACTTGGGGGGGGGGGGGGGGGCACTGAGTCAATTTTTACTTGGCATCAGGTGAGATGTTCCTGAGTGATGAAATGGATCAAACTAGGAAAGAAGTGGTTGAGGCTTATTAAGGTACTGAACTGACATTCACTTGGACAAATGAGAAAATCTTTAGGAAATTTGTCAACAGCCAGTGCCCTGACTAGATTAAAATAAGGTTTTTCTAAATACAAGCTCATTACTTACAGTTAGTCTAACCTGCTTAGTGCACCACAAATTTTTCATTGTCCTGAAATAATTGTATTTATCCATTGTGCATTTTGGAGATATTGTTATGTAACAATGATTTGGACGCGTTAGTGGAAGGAAGACCTAAGGTGCAACAATTGACATTTGTGAAAGAATGGCATCAGATGCAACTATGAACTGGTATCAGAGTGCAAGAATTACCTGCATGCTTTTCCATTCTTGATAATTTTAAAGCAAGATTTTATTCCTGGAAGTTTTAATGTATAAACAGAATGTGCTTCTTTTTTAAAACTAGAAGTACTTTCAGCCTAACAGCAGGATGCAGTATTTTACTGGACAAAACAAATCTGTTGGGTTTTGTTAATGTAGATTTGTTTCTTACAGATCGAAAGTACTTGCAGGTCACAGTTGACCGACCCAGTGGGTTAGATGTCACTAAGCCAAAACATGGTAAAGTGGATGAAACCGGAGCCCCTCATGTGGGAGGAAATATGTGGGCTGGAGGTACAGGTGGCAGGGACACTGCTGGTCTTGGAGGGAAGGGAGGTCCTTATAGATTAGATGCTGGTCACAAGGTTCATCAGGTAATTACAATCATAGTAGAACAAGTTGCATGGTGAAGTATGAACATCATAGGCAACCAGTGGAAGAGAACTGGATCTTTGTGTACGATGATCATGTGATGTTTGTTCACTTGGCGCACTCAAAATCATGGATAATTTATTCAAGATGGTGGTTATCATGCCAAGAAAAACCAAGTATTGGCAGCATATGCATTCCAACACTGTATATCTGCATTGTTTTTTGTTTTGATTTTTTACTGCACAAAGTAAATGCTTTAGTGAAAATATTTTAAAATCTTTAACTTTTACATAGGAAATCCTATTGTATGGGGACCTTTTATATGGGAAAAAATATGTATTGTTATTGTGATGGGGCCATAAAATTTGGACTTCTTACACAATAAAACTTTTACGCTCCTGCTGTCATCTTAACCAAGTGGATGACTGACCACAGGAGCCAGCATATTTTATAAAGGAATTATGTAACTGGAACATTGAATATCAACTTCAGTTGGTCTGAACTTATTGTCTGTCAACAATGAAAAATAATTTTGTATTTTTATGTAATTGTGTAGTATTCTCCATGACATGTGCATTGACTGGCATGGAATATGAACTGCTATCTCCATTCATCATTGCTGTTGACATATGTGCATGTTATGTGTCAGTTTTAGTGTCCCTCTGAAGAAAATTAAAATATAGTTGCACAACTAATATTTAGTGCATTATACCATAGAAAAAACTTGCATCAAAATAAAAATTACCTTCAAATTTTGCAAAACTTAAGTCACAATAAGGAATACTACCTTCGCTGGTTTAAGCAAAGTCCAGGATTTCTGGGACATGTTGTGGTAGTTGTCAGTATATTCCATGATTTGATTTATAAAAGCACTGAGGTAGAAACCAAATTCATGAACACATGACTTGTACCTCAATTTGTGTTCTACTATAGTGAAAGTAAACTAAACCACAATGTTAACTTGTTGAGACAGGCAAGGCCATTGAGATTACTATGATACAACAGCAGGCGTCTTAGGCAGATTCTACTGTATCTATATAACCGTCTGTAATATTCCTTCAGCAGATGAAGTGTATTTAGAGTCTTGACAGATGCTTTAAATCATGTATTGATGAGGAGGATCAATAATGAAGGTCATTATTTGGACAGGTTACACAGGCAGAGAAAGATGCAGTGCCAGAACATGTGAAAAAAGCTGCACGTGAAATGGGGCAGAGAGCATTCAAACAGCGGTTACGTGAAATCCAGATGAGCGAGTATGATGCTCAGTTGTATGCGCAGTTCTCAGATGCTGTTAGCAGACAGGTAATTGTGAGATGTGTTTCATATCCAGACAAATGCACTGCCTTTAAACATTTTGGAATAGTGTTTTGTTCAATTTTTCTCTCACAAATTCAGGACTAGGCAGAATCTGTACTGATTGAGGACCTACAAAAAGTATCCATACCACCTTCTTCAGGTGACATTCAGTCTGCACCACATCTGCTAACAATTCTTAACAGTCAACCAATGACTGATTGGTGACTGAGGCTGACAGCAGTGTTGTCTGTTTATACCTGCTTGTGGGGTCTGCTTGGAGGAAGTTGTAAAGTTCTTGGTATCTTATTACAGAAGTGCTTGGACTCAGGAGTATATGACTGTTTTGGGCCGTATCATTTCTGAAAGATACAGTCCCAGTATTTTCATACTGTTTAATTGCCTCATCCTTACATTATGCATTATCTCACCTAGGTACAAGCTCTGAGGGTGATTCTTAACAGTCTGCAAGCGAAGTCAAGGGAACGACAGTGGATGCGACATCAAACCGTTGGAGAACTGGATGACACCAAACTAATTGAGGGTAAAGGTTTGTGGGGGAGGGGGGAGAAGGACTGTAGTGGAGGGTATTGCTGACAATTATTCAGCTCAGTTAGGAAATTGTAGTTTCGCCACTGTCATCATTTAAGCCTCTTGCTGGTACATATCTTAAGTAGGTTCAAACCACAGCCTATTTCCTCAAGCTGTGTTCCAGTCAGGACTGTAAAACTGTGAAATGAATGACATCTGAACTGGTTCAAACCATTTCACAATTGCTCCAAAGCCATTGTGGGCACAGAAATCAACAGATCTCACTTACTTCCCAGATATATTTCAGCTGAAAGTATTGGAAAAACATTGTAAAACTATGAAACTTGCTGTCTCTCTCTCTCTCTCTCTCTCTCCAGTGTCTCTGCAACGTCATAAATTCTGTTGTTAGTAACAATTGACTTGACAAGGTGAGAGGTCAGTCATCTAGAGGCAGTGTGTTGGCCAGGCTGGATATAGAAGACTGAATGCAGTAAACAGAAATATAAATACTTTGTGACCTGTGATAATGTTTCTTGACTGTGCAACATTGATGAATCATTATTGTGACTGCGGAGTGGTTACAGTACTGTGTTACATAATTTGTTGTAAAATGTAACCAAGAGACTAGAGTATAGGAAATATCCTTGTTAGATCTCTTGTTCTTTTCTTTTGGAAACTTTCAAATTTTGCAACTTGAGTCTGAAATTTTTTTTTAACATCTCAACCAATAAGAATAAATTCAGATTTGTAACCTCTCATGGAATCCCAGGTTTTCAGGTGATTTTCCTTTCATTAGTGTTTTACCCAGTTGCACTGAAACCTCAGAAACATCAGTAAACTTCTACCAAACTACATAGCACAACAACCCAGAAACCCATCTTTAAAAGGCACCTATTTCTGAAGATTTCCGTCTTCTGGGTTGTTGCGCCATGTAGTCTGGTCGATGCTAACCAACTTTTCACAGGTCATACTGCCTCCGTCATCAGGGCGATGACATCTACCATACTATACCATATATTCATCGCCCTGATGACGGAGGCAGTATGACCTCTGAAACGTAGGTTAGCATAGACCAGACTACACGGCGCAACAACCCAGAAGATGGAAATCTTCATACTCACCGCTGTGAAAACCTCAAATCTTGCACCTATTTCTGTTAGTCATAACAACTAGTGGTGATGTAACCTTATGCAGTGGTTAATATGAATGCAAAATTCCTGTTTTTAACCATTTGAAAAGGTAATTTCTTCCACCACATGGTATATTGAAGCAATGTTGGATTTCATTTCTGTTGTTGCAATTCACATGATCCCTCTAAGTATACAATAGTACACATCCTAAAGTTAGCTCAGCAAAAGTTACTGCCAAATACTGATGACCTTAACAAAGCATGACATCAATCATGTTAAAAAATAACACTTATCTGTAACATTCAAAATGGAAAATATATTTCTGTATAACTGATTGACCAAGGTTAATTATGATTTGTTATGATGGCTTTTCATGGTACATGTAAATCCTTTAATGTCAGTGTAATTTAAAATTTCCTATCGTCCTAGCTCGCCAAAGGACAGTCTTCAGTTTTATGGCTGGGTATTTTATGTTCCAGGTTTGACTGGAGAGAAGACAATATACCGGAGGCGAGCAGAGAAAGACCCAGAGGTGGGAACACCTCAAACAAAACCAAAACGGCTCAAACTTGTGATTGATGTCTCAGGCAGTATGTACAGGTATGTGGAATAATAATGAATATTCATTTATCTGATTCTCAGTGCATGTTGTGCGTACATGCTTCGTTGCTCTGCCATTATTTTCAGAAGGCCAGACTGCACTATCAGAGACATTATTCTTATGATTGCATTTACTGAAATTAACAGTTAAGTTAAAAGATAAAAATGCATGTTATAGGTTCAATAGTTATGATGGCAGGCTTGATCGTGAGATGGAAGCAGTGGTATTGGTAATGGAAGCTTTCCAAGGCCATGAAGGCAGAATCCAATATGATATAGTTGGGCATTCAGGCGAGAGCCATGATGTTACATTTGTGGACCACAAAAATCCACCAACTGACAACAAACAACGACTAGACATAATCAAGGTGGGTCAACTGTGTTATGTTTGGGCAGACTAATATGACATTTATCCAGTTATCTTGCTTAACTCCTCACCGCCGAGAGGCGTAAAATTACGCCCGGCATTTAAATGCTCGGGATTGCGGCTGGGCGTAATATTACGCCCGGCTTTAAGCCTAATTTCTTCAGCTCATAACTTTGTAACGATTAATGCCAGCGCAAAGATCCGGCAACCTTGTTGACAATCCCTTGAACGACTACCTGGGAGTCTAAAAATAGACGACTGGCCTCAGTTTTACAATGGAGAACCCTTCAAGCAGTCATGTGTTATTTGATGCTGAACAAAGGGCACTTCTAGACGAATTATTGGAAGTGACAATTATAGTAGCTCGGACACTGAGAGTGTAGACTTTGAATATACACAGTTGGTGACACCGGGAACGTTAGCGATTAGTGAGAATGAGAGTGACAATTGTGGTGGCGAAAACCAGGAAGAAATTGTAGAAGCAAATTCAGGTATTGTTTCCGGCAAGTATATGTGGGAAAATATTGACTCATTTCCTGCTTCAAGAGAAGCATTTTGTAATGTATATGGTCCTCGGCTCGACACGGCTGGACTAGATGTCGTGAGTTCATTCGAAATCATTTTCGATACAGCTCTTGTGCAGCTCATTGTAGATGAAACCAACAGATATGCTAAGCAAGAAATTTCTAAAAGTGCCCATCCTCTCACATTTCGATCTAGGATTAGGAAGTGGCAAGATGTCACAGTAGACGAAATTTACGTGGTTTTGGCTCTATTTATGTTGATGGGCATTGTTCAAAAGCCTACAATCAGATCTTATTATGCAAACAACCGGCTGCTGTACACTCCGTTCTCAACTTCTGATCCATTTGCTCCCATTGGTCACACACAGAGAGCTCATCTTATAAGGTAAGATTACAAAACCATCTTTTAAGAGGATTTCAGTGAAAAATTCATATCTGTCAATGTCAATCCAAGTACAAAAATTGGCTATGTACACTGTCTGAAGTAACTTGTGTTAGCCTCAGTTTTTATAATACAATTGAGTGCAAATTATGTACACAGAGCATAGTCCTTTTTAAGAAGCTGATAGTAGCTCAGAAGGTCAAGAAATTCCCTGATCTTTGTGGAACCTGAAGGCTTTAATATTGCCCTCCCATTTATACCTAAGTGTCCAAAGTGCTCTCTTCCCTTCAGGTTTTCCATATGAAATTTTGTATGCATTTCTCATCTTAACCATGCATGCTGCCCCCCCCCCCCCCCCCCCTCTTCTTTTGTTCTATTTGATTTCTTCATCCTGATTATGTGAAACTCTCATTAATTTGATATAAACTTTAGTTAGTATTCTTATGATGATTTAGCTTTTTTAGTAAAAAAGGAATTCACATGAATTTTGGGCATCATAAAAAGAGATATTTTTCATTTCAGACAATGCATGCCCATTCACAATACTGTATGTCAGGAGACAACACCCTAGAAGCCACACAGTATGCGATAGCTTCTCTGAGTCAAGAAGACTGTGATGAAGCAATTGTGGTTATACTGTCTGATGCAAATCTAGAACGTTACGGCATACCTCCAGAGAGCCTTGCAAGAGCAATGAATTCCAACCCTAGAGTCAGTGTATATGCCATCTTTATTGGTTCATTAGGAGATCAAGCATCAAGGTAATTTCTTTTATTTTCATATTGTTCATGAAAAGGGTTTCTGCAGAGTACAGTTTTCCAGTCTTGTTGTAAGATAGATGTTGACCTGAGGTAAAGAAAGTAATTCTGTTATCTTTTACCTTCGAAACTTAAGATTATATGTTAGTGTATAAAAGCACTGTCATATCAGTAGAATAAAAGATAATTTGGACCTATGTTACCAAATAGAAAGGGGCCAAAAGTATTAGTAACACACAAAAAATATTATGGAGAATAATTTTAAACATAATGATCTCTCATCATTTCCATGAGCAACATGTTTTCAGACATTTGCACTAAACTTAACTAATTTAACTACATATTGTTTTATATTTCATTAATATTTTTTCATCATTTTGGTTTGTGAATTGTGTTTACATTTTCAGATTAACAAACAAATTGCCAGCAGGTCGATCGTTTGTATGTCTTGACTTGAAGAACATCCCTCAGATTTTGCAGCAGATTTTTGCTGCTTCTGTTCTCAATACTCGGTGACCATACTCCTTTCATAGTGTCCTTTCTTACTAGAGTGAACTGTAATTGACAATTTAAAGATCATATTTTATAGTCTCAACCATACAAGTATGTGAATATGGTACCGCAGCCTATACAGTCTAGACTGCAATGAGAGAGATGAGAGAATGATGGTTCAGATGCATTAACTTTTATGGCTGTGCACATGTATTTCAGTGACTTTAATAGTGACCAAGAAACATCACATAACCTGAGAGTCTAAAATGTATAATTATGCAATCATTGTTCTCCTCAACTTGTGTCTAATACATTTCAAATCCTTCCCTTACTGTGTTATTTTTATATGGGATATCTTATGTTAAACATATCCTAAGTTACAGGATGTTTACTGACAACTTGATAGTTCTGACTGTAAAGCACAGTTGCCAAGAAAATAGAACACTTTGAAAAATGTTGTTGTTGTTATAAGAAGAAGATTAAAGTGAGACAAGAGGATATGCCAATAATCTTGTGATTTTTTATTCCATGTATCTTGATATGCATTCGTGATATTACTGAAGAAGCCCTCAATTTGGGAACAAATTGGATCCACTTTATATGTAAGGTACTGTCAGTTCTACAACTGATATGGTGTAAAAATGACATTCTGGAGCTTACGGACTTTCATTCAGCGCATTTCAGAAACAGTACCTGTCTGCTAGCACGTGGCAAATCCATGGAAACAAGACAGAAGATTTGGTTTTCAGTTCAGGTTCTGAAAAATAATTTATTTATCTTGGATGACTGATATGAATTTACACATGTAGGATAACAGTGATGGTAGTGTTCCAAGAAGTCAAGCATGGCACCATAAAAGAAAAAACTGGGCTACAATAAATTAAGGCACTATTTTCACCCCTGGTTGGAATCGTGTTTTCTTGCACCACATATCAGTGGAGATCTTACTTCATTTGACTGATCTTGACTGGTGTTTACAGATTTATTCAGCATAGTCAACTGAAGTTGCATTTGAGTGGTTTGCATGCTTCATACAGTATTCAGGAAGCGCTTGATTCAATTACTGGTCCAGAGATCAGCATTATCCTGACATTTGTCAGGGTTTTCTTTATCCATTACAGGCAAATACTGGGATAGTACCTTAAAGTATGCATTGACTCCTTCCTCCCA